GAGCCGAGTGATGCTGTGTGACAAGGGGATGTGCTGTGGGAACGTGCCGGGGCTGACGGGACTGCTGTGCCTCTAGATCCCCGCGGCCACAGGGCCCATCGGAGGGCCCTCTACCTTTGAGGAGCTTTTCCTAAGGCTCCGAAGCTCTGCTGGTGACCAGGTGTGACCACACGGCCACAGCTCTGCCTGCCCACCCAGATGTTTTTCCCCTCTCTTCTGCATGCCCCCGTCCCCTTTCCTCCAAACCTGTTGACTCTTTGTGACTTAAGTCTTCCTCGTGATGGCCAGAAGGGAGAGGATCCATTTTAAATTAACAAGGTTATTAGCAGTTAATTACCTGAGGTATCATTGTAATTGAAAAGAAAAAGAGAGAAAAGGGGCTCATAAACATTCCAGCTGCCTGTTCTCCCTCCTCGCTGTCACTGTGGCCGGGGTGGGGGGATGGACACAATGTCCCCTATGCCGGAGTACAGACCATGGCTTTTCTTGCTCTCAGTATCCCTCCACGCACTCCCACCCGTTTTCACTGGGATATGTGGAGGGGAAACCAGGCTCGAGGAGAGGAGGCTGTCTACCCCACCAATGCCTCAGAGCTGGGGAGAAACGCTGGCCACAGCCATAAAGATGCAGACAGATGTATTTTACACTGGGGGTGTGCAGGAAGGAGGCACAAACCTGACGCCTGGAGTCAATGTTTTTAGCGATTTTTATCTGGATTGTCCTCAGTGATTCTGCAATTAAGCATGGCTGGCATATATCAGCATTATTGAATTTTAGTCCCAAATTCACCACCACCAGAGACACCACTATGTCAGGGATCATCTTTTCCTTCCTCCTCCCGCCCCCCCCCCCCACCAGCCGCTGCCAGGGCTAAAGGCTTCCGGGAGCAGTAGGGACAGAAAGAAGACACAGAAGGCAAAGCCCTCTCCCTCATGCTAACGTCAGCACCTACTCACTAGATCCTCAGGTGAAGACTCCGTACCGTGAGGTTCTTATCAGAGAGCCCAACTCCTGCAGAAAATTCACCAGCGGCCATCCCATCCTTGAGGCCTCCACAAAGGAGCCCCAGACCACAGACTCCAGGAAGTATCCGCCTCTGGGGGCACACTCATTCCCGCCAAACTGTCCCCAGTTTAGGGTAAACTAGTAGGCAGAGCCAACCTGTGAGCCAAAAACCCCTCTTCCCCTCCACAACATCTCCCCCAGACACAAGCAGCAGGGCCAGGGCTTTGATCTGGAGACACGGAGAACACGGTGTGGGTGCTGACACGATGGAGGGGTGAGCTCGAGCGCAAGATGCCCTCCCAACTGCCTCAAGCCCGGCTGCCCTGACACAGCCTGGGACTCCAGGCACACCCCAGGCCACCCTCCCTGTCCTCCGTCCTTTCCCTCGGTGAGGCTCCGGCTCCCCTGCCCTGGGCTAAGCCCTCCTCCCCTCTGAACCTGACTTTCCTGAGCAGAATTCAGCCCCCTGAGTAGCAGGCAGAGTGCTCAGGAGCAGACCCCTCACCCCCACCCAAACTTCTGGAGGCAGCAACAAAGAGCAAAGTGGGGAACAATAGAGCACATACAAACCCACACACAATCACATATGTGTGCAAGTATGATTGCATGAAGTATACTTCATGTGTGCATATATCACATATGACATGCACGTATGCACATGGACAAGTGCATATATCATTAAATGTTTCAATTCATCATTTACTATGTGAAAGGTAGGTAACAGTGTTAGCCACATTTTATGAATGGAAAAAATGGGGTTCAGAGACCCTAAGTTATATGTCCAAGGTCACGCGGCTATTATATGATGGAAAAGAATATGAACCTAGGCGGTCTGTCTCTAAACTGCCTAAACCCTAAACTGTCCAGTACATGCTTTTTGAAGATTCCACCAAAGTGGGGCTGGGGTGGGGAGGAGATGGCTGGGGAGCTAAAATAGACGAAAACGTTCCTCTCCCCACTCTGCACGGGGAGGGTGCCGGCTGCCCAACCCAGGACAGAGTCACTCTTCCTCTCTTCTGCACCCCCAGGTAGGAGCGGGGCACCCCCAGGTGGGAGAGGGGCATCAGAGTCCTTGGTGGGGTAAAGCCAGCCCACCAGCACAGACTCCCTCATCCAGTGCTCCCTGCCCTCTCTGCCTTCCCATCCATGCTTAGAGTAGAGGGACTGAGCTAAGGCAGGGCAGGGAAACCCCCCTCCCACCGGCTAGTTCACATTTCCCCACCTGCAGAGCTGCTCCCATCCCCCTTCCCGCTGAGTCTGCACTGTTCAAAGTCACCTTGCAAGTGTCTCCCATGCCGGGAAGGCAGCCAGGGGGAGAGGAGCAGATGGGCGGCTGACATGGGCAGCATGTCTACAGCTAGCACGGGGGAGGGGGCAGGGGAGGCTGATGCCAACCTGGAGCCTGGAGTCTGGGGCTACAACCGGGGCTGAGGGAAGGGCCAGGGGTGAGCCCGTAACCCCAGGCTGTCCCTGGAACTGGGTGCATCTGGACCAATCTGCGGGTCTGCTGGGCCAGAGGTGGCACCTGACACCTGAAGAGGGTTTGATCTCATGCTTACAGCCACTTGAGAGCCACAATGTTCCCAGGAAGCAGAGCTTCATTCCAAAGGAAGCCTAACCAGTCATAACCCCTTTCCTTTCTTTCCTGGGAACCAAGAAAACAACTAGCAGCGGGAAGGAAGGAGGCCAGAGCCCACTGTCCCACCCATCCCCACCCTATGCATCCCTGGCCCCTGGCATTTGCCTCCTCTGGTTCTCTGCAGGGTGCAGCAGGACCCAGGAGAGCTGCCCTCAGATCTCTCCCTGCCACTCAATGACGAGGAAAAATCAGTCCACTTCTCTAAATAAAATGCATAAGACATAGTTGGTGCTCAACAGATGTCAGTTTCCTCTCCCTTGCCCTTCCCGCCACTTCCCACTGGAGGGAAGCCCGGGTGTCTTGCAGAGGCTGGGGGCAAAGAGCCTCTCTCCCTTCCTGGTGGCGGGGCCCACGGACTGGGGGGCAGCAGGTCCCCTTCCAGGCACAGCTCCCGGCTGGCAGTGGGGAGGAGGGGGCACTTGGGAAACTGATGAACTTCTACTGGAAATCCTGAAGAACACTGGGATGTTGATACTAGAGTGCTCTGGGATTTCATGAGTGCTGGGACCTTACAGGGATTCTGTCAGAAAGATACTGGGGCATGAGAAGAAAGCAGTAGGAGTGGCTGGGGACATCGTGGAAAGTTACCGGGAAACTCCGGGCTGTCCCAGGGAGCACAGGCACACGCATGGGCATTCCTAGGCACACTGGGATTTCAGAGGGCATCGTGCCCACTGGGGGCCTTTGGAGATAACGAGGCACTCCCCGTGGGACATGCATGGGTTCCACTAAGTGCTACAGTCTAGGCTGCCCTTCTCTTGAAAAGGGGCCTGGGTGGGTCAGGATGCAGCAGGACTACACCGCCCTGGAAGAGGGAGTAAGCCACCCTTTGAGCAGCAACCACCAGAGTGTGCTTTCCTCGTGTGGTGGCTGCCTCAGGAGAATGTGCAGCCTGGTTTGGAAAATCCCCCCTAGAGAGGGGAGCAGCTCCCTGCCGGGCATCAGTCCCCTCAAACTCAGCCTCCAGGCCCCACACCTGGCCCCAGGTGAAGGGCCATCCAGGGCGCAGGGGAGGCAGGACTGAGGCAGTAAGACTTGGTGGGGCTAAGAGGTGCCTCGCCAACAACAAAGTCTCCCGGCATACAACTGTGTCCCAGTCTCAGGAAGAGAAGTTTGGGGACTCACAGGCTAGACCTGCGACCTGTGAAAACGTCAGCTTCTTAGGCCTGGATGGCAACAGCTGCTAGGAAATCTGGACACCTTGGGGGAAAAGTGAAGGCTTGGATAGCCTACTCCTCTGTTCCCCGTCTTGTACCCGCTTTTCTGAGTCCTCCCCATCCTTCAAAACCAGCTCCACACCCGCGTCCTCCCCAGAAGCCTTCCCCATGTCCAGCAGCCCCTGCTCCTTTGAATGCAAGAGCTCTTCAGCAGGCCTTGACCTCTGCCTTGATCTGTGGTCTTCTCTGGACACGGAAGGCCCTCTCCCTGAGGCCCACGGTGATGGGGGGAGAGCAGCGAGACACATCAGCCGCCCCACCTTAGGCCTGGCCCCAGCCCGCCTGCTCCTGCCAAGGGCTCGGGGCCTGGCAGGGGGCCGCTGTGCTCCAGCTCGCAGGTAGGTTTTGTTAAGAGCATGCATCAGCTGCCGCCCTACTGTAGCAGACGCGGCCAGGATGGCTGCGTGCCCTGGAAAGCACCAGTGACGCTGCTGGGACAGAGGAGCTCGGACACTTCTGCCCCCAGCCTAGAGCAACAAAGTCAACCCGAGCCAAAGCCGCTGCTAAGCGTGCCCAGTCTGGAGGAAGCCTGCATGCAGGCTGGACACGGAGAAGGCCCCAGCTTGGTTCCTGTGTGTCCCCAGAGTCAGGAAAACCTAAACCCACAGTAAGCCCGAGCCCCCACGCAACCTCATGCACCTGTCTGCCCCTCACTCTCAGCTCTGTGGTGACGCTCCACGTGTCCCTTCACCGGACCTCAGGAATCTGCAGTGGCCGAACCAGGATATGCACCCCAGGCCCCTGCCCAGAGGCCTCCTCTCCATCGCCCCTGGCCCAGACCTGAGGCAGCAGCTGGTACAGGCCAGCAGAAAGCGGCAGAGAAGCCTCACGCTGCACCAGTCCTTCAGGTGCCCAGCCTGCCTCCCCCGCTGCCCCCCTTCCTCGTGCTCAGCCGGCCAGCCATGAGGAAGAGCAGGAGAGGGACGGAGCACCAGCACTACCAGCCCCGGTGCTGGCCGCCCACTCCTCTACCCTGGCAGCACTGAGCCCCATCATCAGGCACTAATTAAATCCCCCTAATGAGGAAATAAGGATGCAGGAGCCGGCTCCGCCGCGGCCTCCCCGGCCCACCGCCCTCGCCTCTCCATCGGACTTATCGCTCGTCACAGGATGTTTACAATAATTTTTAATTTGTGCAATTATTAATCACTTTTCTATCTGCCGCATTTGCATAATAATTAGTCATCTCACTGTTTGGCATGCCTGTGAATGACAGTGTTTTAAATTGAATTAAGATTTTAATATTCTATTTTCCTGCTTTCTTCCCCTCTCACACGCTAATCAAAGTCAGATTTGGCAGCAGGAGGGAGGGTGGGGAGGAGGCTGGCATGCACTGGACTTGGCCTGCTCCTCGCTCTGGAGAACTGAGCTGGGCGGAGGGGCAGGTCTGGAGAAGGCAACGGCAGCCGGCACCCCAAACCTGGTGCCCAAGCCGTGCCTAATGCAGTAGAGGGAGGCAATGAGTGAGGAGTGGGCAATGGGCAGTGGGGAAGGAGGGCATCAGACTCCCTCCGTGGCACCAGAGAGCAAGAAAAGCACTTTCATTTTCTGTCCAAACAGGCTACTCTTTGCAAGGGAAGTTGGAAAGCACATTATAGGCCGGTAATTGATCCCTGGTTACTAGTCTAGGCTAACTTTGATGGCTCAGGGTCCCCCAGGTAGAAAAGCAGCTGGAAAAGTCCAAAACCCATTGCCATTCTTTGGACGGACTGAGAAAACAAATCTCTGCAGCTGAGTGGGGCTCCCCTCCCCCACTCTAGAGCTACCTGCTCTCCACACACCAGCAGACCCTCTGCCCAGGCTGGGTGCTTCCCAGAAGCATGCCAGAGAGGGTGGGGTTCCAGGCAATAGGCTGGGGCACACTGGCCTCAGTCAGGAGCAGGGGTGGGTTCTCCTCTCTTACACCCCCAGGAATCAGGTTCCAGCCCCACCTCCTCACCACTAGGCTTGCCTCTCGTGTTGCCATGGTAATCCCTGTGGCTGCCGTGGATACCCACTGCTGCTCCAGAATTCTCTGCTTAGGCAGGGCAGCTCTGCCCACAGCCTACTTAGAATACCTCCCCTTTTACCATCACTGAGGCCAAAGGGTGGGGAGCTAGGGTATGGTCACCAACACATGGTCTGCAAAGTCAGATACCGCCTTTCCCTTAAGGTGAGTAGGGAGAGAAGATGGGGTACGGCAGCTGGTGAGAGCCAGCAGGAAGGACATCACAGGCAGGGGAGTGGGGGATCAGACTTCACTCAGCCACCAAGGCTCTCTCCAGGCCAGAGTCAAGGAAAGACCTCAGCCTACAGAAATCCCTCCCACAAGGAACAAGGTCTCCCAACTCTGCATGTAGGGGTCAATGGAGGGAAGACCTCTGGGTGGCGGGGGGAGGGGAGCGGAGACAGAAATGGGGTCTTGCTGTCAGAGTTTAGAGCTAGATGAGGAGAAAGGGCTGGAAGTTTCCAGGAAAGCCCTTTTCCTGCATAGGACTCCACAGCTGGTCTGCATTCTCCACCTGCAAGTTGGGCAGAGAAGATTCGAGGTATTCCTACAGCCGCCTCTGACACAGGGTGTCTCTGGGCTGACCCCATGAGCCCTCTTGCTAATTCACCTAGGCAGGCGCCAGCTACAGGAGCTGGTGGTACCACAAACCCACTTGCCCAGTCATTGTCTGAAGGGGCAGGACAAAAATTGCCAGGATTCAGGAGAGGCACAGTCTAATCCAGGAATTACAGGGAGCTTTTGAGAAACCAGGCTCCCAAGGGCTTTGGGCTCTGTCCCCAGCTCCACTAGAAGGAACACACAGCCTTCTTATTAGTTTGCAAATCAGGCCCAGATGAGCCCCGACTTCACTGTCTCCTACCTCATCAGCAGGGGACGCAGCCTTTACCACAAGGAGCCTTACCCACCACACCCAGCCTCTGCTCCCCGGCCTTTCCCTCCCACAACCCCTCAGTGGCAAAGGGAACTCTCCAGGCTCAGACCGGTACATGGAGCTGGTGTCACAGCAGCCTCTGCTGGCTGCCTTTGCCTTCCACACCTCACCTAAGGAGACAGGAAGGCCAGCAGCCCCTCAGAACTATGCTCACCATGAATTCCAGTTTACCAGGGACAGTCCTGGTTTACACCTGGTGTCTTGGCATAACTATTAATAGCACATGTGTGTGTGTGCATGTGCACGCACACACACACACACACTGTTCACTCTCAGAAGTGTCCTAGTTTAGACAAGAAAGTAAATGGTTTCTCTAATCACAGGCAAGTGTAGGGTCCCAGAGAGCCTGGGGAGAAAGCGGAGAAGCTGTGAGCATAGAGACAAGCAACCTTCTCTCAGTTGCCAAGCAGAGGTGAAGCTACTCCCTTTCAGTCAGCACCAAGAGCGAAAGTCAGAGCCCCTGTCCTAGGCCAGAGCACCGGCATCTCAACAATCTCCCTTGGGGACAGAAGGGATGCAGGTCTTTCCCAAGGCAAGGAGACATCTGACACAAGGAATAGTAAAAAGTAAGATAGAAGAGCCAGCTCAGCAAAAAGGTAGAAGACTGAGGGGAGTAAGACGCTATCTGTACATGTGTCCAGCAAATGGCAACAGGGAGCAGTGTGCATCGGACCATCCGCGTTGCAGCAGGACGGCCCATCCAGCTGGCTGCCCATGACTGCTCTGGGGTACATCCTCTAACCTTCTGAAAGGTCCAACTAGATTGCAGAGCCTCTCTCTCTTTACCCGCTTTCCCCCAGCTGACTCCCTAGCCTGAATTGCAAAATCAATACAGACATTTCGCAAGCTCCCATCCACAACCTAAGAGATGAGGAAGAGAAATTGGAACAGTCAGCCCCAAGGCTCCTGGATCCCTTCCTTGTGTGCAGTTACCTGATTGATGCAAGGCTCTTAGGGATCCCCCTTCTCTCCACTTATCTGAACTGTGATTCCTAAGCTCAGAAGTATAGAGACCACTGTGTTTCTTTGGAGGATGGGAATGCAGTTACAGATATTGGAGAATTTCTATGTCCTATCACTCAGCCAAGTTAATGTAAATTAACTGCAAAGTAATATACATCAGGAACAAGCAGTTATGCATTCTGAGGAATCAGCAGTAACAGTCCCCACCCCATTTCTCATTGTGGTTTTGATTTGCATTTCCCTGATCATTAGTGATATTGAGCATTTTTGTAATGTGTCTGTTGGCCATCTGTATGGCTTCTTTAGAAAAATGTCTACTCAGATCTTCTGCCCACTATTTTTTTTCTATTGAGTTGCATCAGTTCTTTATATACTTTGGATATTAACCCTTTCTCAGATATAAGGTTTGCAAAGGCAGGTGCCTTTTCACCTTACTGATGCTTTCCCCTGCTGGACAGATGCCATTTGGTTTGATGTTGTCCCGCTTATTTATTTTTGCTTTTGTTGCCTTTGCTTTTAAAGTTAGATCAAAAAATCATCGCCAAGACCTATGTGAAGGAGCTTATTCCCCATGTTTTCTCCAGATTTATGGTTTTAGGTCTTACATTCAAGTTTTTAATTCTTTTGAGTTAATTTTTATGATGGCATGAGGTAGTAGTCTAGTTTCATTCTTTTGCTTGTGGTTGTCCCGTTTTCCCACCACCAGTTATTGAACAGACTGTCCTTTCCTCATTGCATATTCTTGCCCCCATTATTGTAAGTTAATTGGCCATTTATATATATATGGATTTATCTCTGGGCTCTCTATTATGTTCCATTGATCTATGTGTCTCTTTTTATGTCAATACCATATTGTTTTGATTACTATAGCTTTGTGATATAGTTTGAAATCAGGGAGCATGATACCTGTGTGATCTTCTCTCTCAGGATTTGCTTCCACTATATGGAGTCTTTTGTGGCTCCATTCAAATTTTATGAGTTTATTCTGTTTCTGTGAAAAATGCCATTGGAATTTTGATAGGGATTGCACTGTGAATCCGTAGATTGGGGTAGTATGAATATTTTTACAATATTAATTCTTCTAATATGAATACAGAATATCTTTCCATTTATTTGTATCTTCTTCATTTTCTTTCATCAGTGTCTTACAGTTTTCAATGCACAGGTCTTTCATCTGCTTGGTTAAACTTATTCCTGGGTGCTTTATTCTCTCTGATGCAACTATAAATGGAATTATTTTCTTAACATCTTTCTGCTAGCTTCTTGTTAATGTATAGAAATGCAACAAATTTTTATACTTGATTTTTGTATCCTGTGACTTTACTGAATTTATCTATTAGTCTAACAGGGTTTTGGTAGAGTCTTTATGGTTTTATAAAATCATGTCATCTTCAAATAGTGATAGTTTTACTTCTTCCCTACCAATTTGGAATCCTTTTATTTGCTTTTCTTCTCTAACTGCTCTGGCAAATACTTCCAATACTAGCTTAATAAAAATAGTGAGAGTAGACTTCCTTGTCTTATTCCTCATCTTTGAGGAACAATTGCCTATGGGGTTGGCTGTGGGCTTGTCATATGTGGCCTTATTTTGTCAAAGTACATGGTATCTATCTATATCCACTTTGCTGAGTTTTTAATCATGAATGGATATTGAAATCTGTCAAATGCTTTTTATGTTTCTATTAGATAATCATAGGACTTTTATCCTTCATTTTGTTACTATATATCATGTTGATTTGTGGCTGTCAAACCATCCTTGCAATGATGGAATAAAACCACTTTATGACTTTGGTCATTGTGTGTAATTTTTTTAATGTATTGTTGAATTCAGTTTGGTAGTATTTTTTGGTATTTTAATGTATTGTTGAATTCAGTTTGGTAGTATTTTTTGGTATTTTAATGTATTGTTGAATTCAGTTTGGTAGTATTGTTGAGGATTATTTTCATCTATGTTCACCAGAGATAATGGTCTGTAAGTTTCTTTTCTTGCTGTGTCCTTGTCAGTTTTTGGTATCAGAGCAATGCTAGCCTTGTAAAATGAGTTGGGAGGTGTTCCCTCCTCTTCAATCAATTCATATTTTCTATTCATGATTTAGTCTTGGAGGTTTCTATGTTTCTAGAACTTACCACTTCTTCTAGGTTGTCCAATTTATTGATATATAATTGTTTGCATTAGGCTCTTACGATGCTTTGTATTTGTGGTATCAGTTGCAATGTCTTCTCTTTCATTTCTGGTTTTATTTATTTGAGCCCTCTCTTTTTTTTTTTCTTTTTGTGAACCTTGCTGAAAGGTTAGCAATTTTGTTTCTATCCAAAGAACCAGCTCTTAGTTTCACTGATCTTTTGCACTGTCTTTTTTGTCTCTATTCATTTTTTTCCTGATCTGTTATTTCCTTCCTTCTACTAACTTTGGGCTTCATTTGTTCTTTTTCTGGTTCCATAAGTGTAAAGTTAGATTGTTTGAGATTTTTGTTTCTTGAGGTAGGCATGCATCACTATGAACTTTCCTCTTAGAACTGCTTTTGCTGCATCCCCTAAATTTTGGTATGTTGTATTTTCCCATTTTCACTTGACTGAAGGTATGTTTTTATTTCTCCTTTGACTTCTTTGTTGACCCACTGGTTCAGTAGCATGTTGTTTAATCTCCCCATATTTGTGATCTTTCCAGTTTTCTTCTTGTAATTAATTTCTAGTTTCATACCATAGTGGTTAGAAAAGATCCTTGATAGTATTCCAACCTTCTTAAATTTATTATGATTTGTTTGGTGGCGTAACATATGATCTATCCTAGAGAATGTTCCATGTGCCCTTGAGAAAAACATGTATTCTGCTGCTTTGTGATAAGATGTTCTGTATATAACTATTAAATCTATCTGATCTAATATGTCATTTAAGGCCAATGTTTCCTTATTGATTTTCTGTCTAGACGATCTATCCATTGGTGTAAGTGGAGTATTAAAAGACCCCACTATTATTGTATTGCTGTCTATTTCTCCCTTTAGGTCTGTTACTATTTGTCTATGTATTTAGGTGATCCTATGCTGAGTACATAAATATTTACAAATGTTACATAAATAGGAAGTACTTAATTCAGCCATTTTGCCCATAGCAAGGAAGCCAGGGAAAATTCCACAAAGGAAACACTTGATCTAGGTCCTGAAGGATGAGTAAGGTCCTGCTTTGGGGAGAAAAAAACAGAATAGCAGAAGCAGCTTGGAAAAACACAGAGATCTGAACCAGTGGTGTTTGATCAGGGAAGTTAGAAGTCCAGAGACTCCAGGGAAGGGGTTGATAGGTCAGGTCACAAAGGACTTTGATAGAATGCTGAGGAGACTCAACACATCTTGTAGATAAAGACTTCCTCCTCAATCTGCCTCCCACATGACCCTGGAGCCATTCCTAGTCTCAGTCTCTCCATCAATACTGGGATAATCATACTTTCCTTACTCTGTTCCCATGGGAGCTACAAACTCCTTGTCACTGGGACTGGTTGGTTGGCAGAACCACTCCATGAATATCTGACACGAGGTCCATGTACTAATTAAGCATTCATCTAATGTTGCATCCATGACAATCAATTATTAGCCCTGCTAATTAGTGGCCTCCACTAAGAAGATTTTGGGAACAACTGGAAGGCAATGAACCAACTTTGGCCTACTCTTACCCAGAGTAACCACCTCAAGACTCATTCATTCATTCATTCATTCATTCATTCAGACAAAGAACATAGACTTTGGAAGCTCTGTGGTCTTTAGCTTCCTTGTCTACAAAATGGAAATATTAGCATCAAATTCATTGAGTTTTTATGCAATTAATGTATAGAGAAGGACTGGCCCATAGTGGCACTAAATAAAGAATAGCTATTAGTTCCCTTAGTCCAGGAGCTGAACCTTAGGAGAAGGAATGGGCCCAGCTAAGCCCCATTCCAGCCTCCTCCTCTCCTGTACCAAGAAAAACCAGGAAAAGTTTCATCATCCCATTACCTTACATGTTGAGAAAGTGTCAAAGAGCAAGACAGTGGGATTTCTAGGGGTTGAAGTTAACTATACTGGCCTAAAACGCCAATTGCACAAGTAGACACTGAGAGTAACGTGGCTCCATCTCCTCTCACAACACGTGTAAAGGAGCAGTGGGAACTTTTGACAATGGTTTTCTCACTGGGAATCAATGGCGGGATGTGATCACGATGGAAGCTAATTCAACCTTAAATGCAATGATTACAATATCTAGATGCAGGGAAGTAACAGTCCTATTATATCTGATCAGAATACCCTGCGCCTTAGGACCCAAGCTAGGGGCTGTACTTTAAAAGGGGCAGCAAACCAGGGTGACTTCAGAGAAGATAGTATGGGACTCAAAGTCATGGCTGAAGAAACTAGACAAAAGAAAGATGGGCCCAGCAGCTTTCTTATAAAGTCAACACAACTGTGACATTACTTCTCGATCATAAAGGAGGTGCCACAATTAGGGGGGAAATGTCTCGCTGTCGGCTACTCAAGCACAATGAATTCCAGAGACTGTTTCCTCAGTCCCTGCTTCAGGTTCATGTGATATTCCCCAACCCACACAGCATCTGCAGGATGGAAGGGATCAAGAATAGTTCCTCGAGTCTATTCAGTCTGTCTCTGGGCTTCATTTACGACTCTAGGACCCACCTTGAGGCCACCCTCAAAGGTTCACTGTGAACATGCCTCCAGACCCTGAGCACTGACCACCTCGGTCCTCTCCTGTGGTCCTTCATCCTTTTCCTCCCACCCCCTCCTCTCGTGTCAGCCTCTGGCTTGGCTGTCACGCTTCCTTCTGCTACTGGACTGGGGATGGACGGGAGGAAAGAGACTCTATGTGAAGTGTCGATAGACACAATTAGACCCTCTATGTATAAAGATTCATTTCCTATTCCCTTTTATGAAAAATTGTCTGCTTCCTTTCTGACATAAGTTTCAGTACAAAACTCTCCTATTACCTTAAACTTATGACTCCAGGAAGAAAAAGAAAAATTTATTCCAACACATTTAAAATGTTGTCAGGTAAAAGAGGGGTTATTAGTCTGTTTTTGTAAGCCCCGAGATGGAAAATTCAGACAAATGGTGAAGCCACAGGGGAACATTACTGCAAATAGCTAGAGTTGCCCGAGAATGGGCTACATACGTCCCCAGAAGTGGTGACAGGATAGAAAGTGAGAATGTTCAAACATGGGTAGGAATGGCACTTCCAGAAATGTGACTTGCCAGGGGACTCTGGCAGTGGAGTGGACATGAGAATCAGGTCTCTCGAAGATCCTAACGTTGATTCTTGGATTCATATAATTAGCAGTGTATTTCCACAGGACCAAAGGTTGGGTTAGCAGTTGAACTAGTCAACTGATGGAAAACACTTTTAAATTAATTGGTGTGGGGAAAGTGTCATGAATAGAAGTCCTTTATGGTACCCTCCACCTCTGAGATTCCTATTTTATGATTCCAGGTTGTGACAGAGTGTCAGCTACTGGGCAAATCCACACAGCCAACAGGATGCAGGTCAACCTTCTGTCTCAGGACAACTGGTGTGTGTGGGGGGGGATGAGGGTGGGGTGCAGAGATGAGAGCAGGAAACAACAGACATTTTCTAAAGGGCACAGGCACACACACATCTCCCACACACAGTGGAGATCCAGAATTGGATCTGAGAAATGGTGGCAGAGATAAGATCCAACAATCTTCAGATCTGACCAATTCCATAATCGCTCCCTCTCCTAGCTGGTGGTCCCAGGAAAACAGCCACTTTCACCTCCCCTCCCAAAACCAGTAGGGTGGCTTTCATATTCAATGAGGAGAGGGCCCTGGACACCAAACCTAAGACACCAAACCTCAGAACCAGTGCCAATCTGCCAAAGTATGGGCACTCACTCAGGAGCTGGGGACAGAGGGCAGGGCTGAGCAAGGGTGCTACTGCAATCACAGCCCAGAAGGCCACAGTGCCCACCTTCAGTCATCTCTGTGAGCTCTGTGACTGTGGCTGAGTGTCCTCTGGCCACCTCCTACCCAGCAACCCCCTTCTCAGTCCCCTACCTGTCCCCAAAGCTCCTGCTCTCTGTTTCTCTAACACAGGGTTGAGGGGCAGAAGACAGGACACTTCCTGTCCTCAGTACTGCTCTCACCCAGGGCAGCTCTGACCTTAATGGTTCAAGGGCAGACCTCCCCACAGAGTTCAGAGGCCTGCTCCCCGCCACAGCCTCCTGATATCAACCATTAGTAAAATGGCTCCTTGGCAGGTCCGTTCTCCATCCTGCAGGTCACCACACACTTGTCTGCCTCCTCCACTTCACATTGGCCAGTCCAGAATGTTCTTTCTTCGCCAGCCCAAAAGCTGCTTCTAACAGGGCAGCACCCCCTTCTCTCCCAATCTCCCACCTTTTAACCTAAAATGCTGAGTCTAAGTGCAGCCAGTGTAGAAGGCCACACTGCCTCCCTCTCCCTGAAAGAGCTGCTGGCAAATCCCTGTGGAGGGACTTACATAGGTCCGGTGGGCTATATCCCTACGGCTTTGAAGCAAGCGTGGGAACAAACCCCTGGCTCGGCTCTAACCCTCTTGTGCTCCTAGAGACTAATCTTTCCTCCACTCTTAGGAAACACAGACACAACTGTACCAAGCCCGGGGGTAAGGCACCTCCCTATCCAGCATTCGGCCCATCAATCGGTGAGTCCACCACTAACCGATGTCATCGTAAGCCACTTCTCTTGCAACCATCACTGCCTTCAAGGCCAAAAAAGGAAAAGGAAAAAAAAAAAAAAAAAGACCTTAAATGCTCATTTAAAATAACTGCTGTTGAAATGTCGTATGTCCTTAAATGCAGAGAAAGTAGTATACACACACCCACGTGCGTGCACACACACACAGACACACCCCCATCCTGCCCAGTTCTTACTGCTGGGGCCTCAAATAAACTCAGTTTGGGTCCTATCTGAATACCATGGCCACCAGCAACACCCCAGCTCTGCCCTCAGGGGGATGGGGTAGGGGTAACGGGTAAGGGGAGGCTGCCATAAGGGAAATGGGGAAGACTCACTGGAATAGGTCATTCACTACTCCTCCCCTGCTCTAGACACCCCCTCTCCTGGGGACAGAAGACCCGGCCCACTTGACCACCCTTCGTCAAATAGCACAGCCTTCAATCCCACCCAGCAAGACATGCTGGCTCTCCAAACCCAGCCAGGGAACAGCCGTCCTGGTGTTCAGGTAAGGTGGGGAGTGAGGTGAGAGTGGACCCAACAGGGACACGTGCTCTGATACAACAGAAACACTCTTGGGAATATCTTACTGTTCACATTTTAAGACGAGGTACTATTTATGAAGCACCTCCTACATGCCAGGTACCGTGCTACATACTTTATTTCAGATCCTTTCCAATAACCCAGGAGGTGAGTTTACAAATAGGGAAACTGGCTCAGAGAAGTTAGGGAACTTGCTAGAAAGTTAGCACCTGCCTACTCTTTGATGACCTCTCACTCTAAGAGACCCATCCCCCACTGACTTCCCCTATTAAGATGGAGGCCCCTATTAAGATTAAAAGGACCCCACTCTGGGGAAGCAGCAGCAGGCGGGTTGCTTTGCAGGAGTCAGAAGCCGCGGAGGAAATAGCCCCAGAAGATATTAAATACCGCCTGCAGCCCCTTCCCAAGGCTCCGCTGCAGCTGCAATCCCCAAGCTACTCCAGCCAGCACAGCAGGCCTCAGTGGCTCCCCTTCAGTACCACCTGTGGAGAATGTTACAAGCCCGGGAGGACCCAGCCTGTGACGGACCACGAGGAGAAGCCCTCCCATTCAGGTGAGACTGCCTGGTGGCGAGAAGGGTAACAGGACAGAGGAGTGGCACTACCTCACCCTTCTGCAGGGGGCACTCCCGTTCCCCAGGCTGATCCCACGGGTAGGAACCACCAGCCTAGGAGAATACAATAAGCAGTAAGGGCCCCAGCCCTGTCTCTTCAAGAGCCCTTTGGGCAACATTTGGCTACAAGGCCAGCAAGGAGCACTCTAGGAGGGGACCGGACCAGCCACCCATCCTAGCCTACCCGCCTTTAGACCAGTGGGCAGCCGGGAGTCCAGGCTTTCAAAGCTCTGGTGACCCAAAAAGGGGTGGGAGAATACTCTGGATTCCATACTAAGGATTCTTTAGTTCTGGTCTTGGGGAGACAACCCTGGAGGTCAGATTGGCGGAAGAGGGCAATGCTCTTCTTATATTTGGGTCTATTGTTCCCATTATAAAAGGTTTGGTTACATAGAACGAGCCGTGCAGGAGCCAAGGCTGGGGTCCAGGTCCCCACCTTTACTCTCAAGACTTCCCCTCTCAAGACTTTCCCACACAGAGGAGGCCCTCTGCACACTTTCTTGCCCCCTTCAGGTGACGACTATGTGACCCCTACTCATCAGATCTCCTTGCAGAGCCCTCTTCTCGGTCACTCCATGTTCCCAGTTCACATTCAGGGCAGAAAAATAGCACCGATAGTGCGTCCAGGCTTCACGGAGCACATCAGCCAATACCAGAGTGACTTCCAAGCCTCAGGGTGGAATCAAGTCCTCAAAACTGACCCAGACAAACGTAGCCAGGGGATCAAGTGAGTAACCAGAACTGTTGGCAAGCTGCAGGGTTGCCGTGGGGGAAAGGGGCCAGAGAAGGGTTCTACTGCCCAAGAGAAAGGTACAGATGGTCCCCAACTTATGATGGCTTCATTTACAACTTGTCAACTTTCTGATGGTGCGAAAGTGACGCATGTTCAGTAGAAACCGTCCTTCAAATTTTGAATCTGGATCTTTCCCCAGGCTAGAGTTATGCAGTACGGATCCTCTCTGGTGACGCTGAGCAGTGGCAGCGAGCTGCAACTCCCAGTCAGCCTCGCGGTCACGGGGGTCCCCTGACAACATTTCTGCACCCCCGCAGCCATTCTGGTCCACTTTCAGTACAGTATTCAGTATGTGACATGAGCACTTTCTTATAAAACAGGTTTTGTTGCCCAACTGTGAGCTAATGTGTTCCGAGCACATCTAAGGTGGGCCAGGCTAAGCTATGATGTTCAGCAGTTCAGATGCATCCAGTATATTTTCCACTTAAGAGATTTTTGGCTTACGACAGGTTTATGTAGAGGGACCCCCATCATAAGTCAAGCCAGATCTGTATTCATTTAGAACTCAGTCTTCTGTCCAATTCAGACTCATGGCTTTAGAAGGCCACAAAGCAAGGGACTAATTGCTTTAGAATCCTGGATCTCCAACGAGTTCAGATTTATTTCGTCCTCACCTAAGTTTTGGGCATGCTGTTCATAACTGGGTGTAAGTCTCCTCCCCTGTGTGTCTCTGAGAGACATGAGCTCTAACTGCAGGCCAGGAGGTAGAGCAGCCAGCCTTAGCCAGTCCTCACAAAATTACAGAAAATCAGGCATTCCCCTTGCCCATCCTTGTCCTGGCTTCCCCCCTATTAAAGCCTGCTTCCCTGGAGGGCCCAGAATGGACTTCTTCTTCCCTCTGATACATCCCTGAAAGGTTAGAAGGCTCAGGTCTAACGCAGAGGCAGGCATATGAGCATAGTGCCACACAGTGTTACTATGTCCTATTCCACAGTGTCCTGTGGCAATGTCCTATTCCACAGTAGTAGAGGATACCTTCACTGGGAAGTGAACAGGGATGCGAGCCTAGCAAAGAAGAAAGCTCTTTCCCCCCTCCCCCAACACACATACCTCCAAGCTCATCTCCCAAGACCAATTCTCTAAGCGAAGCCTCTAGCTGCCTAGCAAGGCATTCTAGAAATATTCTCCGTCGCCCTATCCTTTGGCTGCAGGTGCTGCATCCTCTCTGCTGGGTCTTAGCATGATAACTATGGAGTATGAAAAAGAAAGAGAGATAAAATAAATTAAAATTTTCTTTTCAGAGGATAAATAAGTGTATATTGACATTACCTGAAAACACTCTGTACAGTTTAGGCAGACACACATGAAAAGCAAAAACAGCATGTAGGTGGCCCGGCACCCCTCCCTCTAGAATGCCTGGATTGGCTCACAGGTAAAGGTCCTGACTTCTGGAGATGTTTTTACCCCATGCAGCAAATATATCCAGACTGTGCAGAAAGACGCTGCCTCTGGCTGGCAGCCTACTATGCAGCGGCATCCAAAGCGGAGATGGCTGAAGCAGGAGATGACCATCTTCGGTAGGAAGAGCATCGTCAAGTTTGATGGAGACACAGTGACCCAGGTAAAGTCCCCAAGCTCTCTGTCAAGAGGTAATCAGTATGAGGGTCCTAACAACTCCCTCAACCCTAGGAGGGTTACGGGGCTAGACAGGGAACAAAGGGAAAATTTTTCCCTACCAGGACACTAACCCTACTTGTCTTGAGAAATCCAAAAATTTTACTTTCCTGAATCTACAGCCATTTACAGACTATAATATTTGTCCCTGACCACAGAGGTGAGGTACGTATGCACTTAACATATGCTTGATACGTGGTAAGTACTTAACAAAAGATAGCAATTAAAATCATTATTATTTCCCCAGACATGCATTCCTCTCTTCCCAGATGTTTTATCTACCTCCTCCCAAATTCCTGGTAAAAAGAGTCAAGGGTAAATGCCTGTCTAGCACATTCAGGGTCTTCAAAGCCAAGTTACAAAATAAAACTACCAGCATGCAATTCTTCCAGGACTGCAGAACTCAGCCCCAAGAATGCGATGGACACCCTCACCACAGAGGCTATGAGCAGCCCCTGGTAAGAACTTCCGTTGTGGGCAGGGAACAGTCCTCTGGACTCCCCCTCCGCCTCTCACCTTGCTATCGGGGTGAGGGTGGGTGGGGGGAGAACTGTGGGGAAAGGAGTCTGATGTTTAAACCTTGGATCTGTCCCATCCTAGAGCAATTCTGAGCAAGTTAACCTCTCTGCACAAATGTGTCCTCCTCTGCCAAGAGAAAAAGAAAAGAAATCTTGCTTCCTAAGCACCAGACATTACATTTTTATCTGTGACTCCTTCTAACTCCTTAGCTGACACTGGGTACTGAGCATAACATGCAGGGAGGGGAAGATACACTCCTTCTTCAGCTGACTGCTTTCTGTCCCCTCAAAAGAGAGTGGGTTCACAGGCACCAACTCAGGATCAAACTACCACCAGGACCTCCTACATGCCCTTGTTTTCTGAAAGGTTGAACCTCTGTAAGCCCAAGGTCAACAGCATCAAACGGGAGCCAAACACAATTTCTCTACTGAGCGAAGGAAAACATTCAGGTAAAAAGGAAATTTGTCTTCCCAGATACAATAATGTTTGCATATGGAAAAAATAAAAATAAAAGCCAGCATCGTGGGGCAGACATAATTTAACTCCAGCCTGGCCTCATAATCTTTCTGCCTATTTTTACAGACCAGTCCAGCTGCCTGAAAGCCGCTTCCAGAAATACTTCTGACAACAAGACTCAAAATTCCAAAAGAGGTAATAATCAAGAGAAAGAAACCGCCCAAATAACCTATGCAAAAATGCATGGTTGGGGACCCACATCCTCCTAACCTTAAAACCGAGGTCCCACCATAACTATCTCACAGGGTGGACTCAGCTTTGCCACTGGGATTTCCTAGCCACAGCCTGACCCTAATCCAGCTCTCTGAAACTAACTGAGCCAGCGTCAGTAACATCTTTAGAAAGGACGGAGGCACTGTGAGTCGTAGAAGGTCAGTGTGTTCCAGGATTCCCGAGGGGAAAACAGGTCAGACTATTTCCCCCAAATGAATGAACGACAAAGCATCAAAACTTTTCTCAACTCAGTACCATCAATTAATTACATTCTATTTGAGCTACATCGTCTGTTCACTGGTGCTTTTTCTTTTCCTTTACATTCTCTGAGATTATAATTCACATACCATAAAATTCACCCTTTTAAAGTGTATAATCCAGTAGGTTTTAGTACTGCTCAGCTGCTTAGGTCTAAACTTCAGAGGGAAGAAAGTGGCACAGGAAAGGAAGGAGAACAAGAGGGTTGGTCTAAATTTGATTAAAACAAACAGACAAAAAATCGTCCACATAGAGAAAAGTATTCCAAAGCCTAAGGGAGAATCTGATCAAAATCTAAATACCAGGTCTCTCTCTTAAAAATACTTACCATGTTGAAAACAGGATTATGTTTCTGATTTTAAGGAAGGGATAAGAAATGGAAGAGGCAACTGAATTTAGACACCTCTATCCTTGAGAGATGCTAAAACACAGATAAGACCCAGGGGCCTCCTTTCCCTGGTCAGGAAAAGGCATATCACACTGCCCTCTAGTAGCCAGCTTAGGAAATGACAGCCAGCCGCCTGCTGGACAGACAGACTTGGAGGTCTCTGCCCTGGAGGATGGGCTGTGCTCACACACACAAAGGCAGAAAAATCAGAGGGACACGGAATTCATACATTTTCACCAATGCCTACTGAACACAGAACTCACCTACAATAGAAGCTATCTACTTCCCCTCTACCTCAGTCTCCACTTGAAAACAGATAGATTCCTTTGTTAAGGAAAAAAAAAATGTGGTTTAAGATTTCCAAAACATCTGAAGCCTGTCTTACTTAGTCCATTCAGGCTGCTATAACAAAAATACCCTATACTGGGGGGTGGGGGGGCTTAAACAACATACATTTATTTCTCACAGGTCTGGAGGCCTGGGGGTCCAAGATCAAGACACTAGCAGACTGACTTCGTGTCTGATGAGGGCTCGCTTCCTGGTTCAGAGGTCGGCTTCCCGCTGTGTCCTCACATGGCAGAAAGGACAAGGGGCTCTCTGGGGCTTCTCTTACAAGGGCACTAATGTCATTCATGAGGCTCCACCATCAGGACATAATCACCTTCTAAAATTCCTGCCTCCAAATATCATCATGTTGGGGCTAGGATTTCAACATGGTACTATGGGGGATATGACATTCAGTCCACAAAGCCTCTTAAAGCAAGCCGTTCCTAAGAAAGTGTGGGGCCCCCTTATAATGAAGTTAAAACCTGGTCCTGTGTGGAAATAAAACCCAGCTGGGCATAAGAGTTGTGACAAATGGCTAGGAGTCGAACGTATTCACTGCCACTTCTGACCGAGGAAAGGGGATGGCTTACAAAACAGCTTACAAAAGTATAAACTCCGAGGTAATAACTTAGAATAGGACTCAGAGCCCAGAGCCTATATTCACTGAGGTCTTTTTGTAAAATAAGCTTTTTATTTTGGAAAAAATGTAAACTTCTAGCAAACTTTAAAAATAACAGAGTTTTGTTTTGTTACTCTTTCCCCCAATGTCTTGGCTGCTGCAATACTTCTTAGGTAACTACGGTACATTTGTCAAGACTGAGAGACTAACAACACATGCATTTGCAGGAACTAAACTCTGGATTCTATTCAGATTTCACCAGTTTCACCACTAATGTTCTACCGTGGGCCTTTTTACAAAATGTTCACAGCAAGGAGCCAAAGGACCAGAAAGGCAGAGTGCCACCGGGTAGGACACTGGGTTCGAGTCCCAGCTATGCCTCATGCTAACTGTAGAACCTTAGAATCTGTTTTCTGAGCTTGTGTCCTCTTTAACATATGTCCACCTCTCTGCCTACACAGCTCTCTGACAGCCACTGGCTAGAGTTAGGGAAGAGACATCTCCAACTTGGCAGTGACGCCAGCTCATGCTCTCCAGTTAAGAGAAAGGATGGAGCCCCTGTGGGAATTTTAGATTTCAACATTGCTTCCAAATCCACATATGTATCAAATGGCTGGAGGACAGACAGCCTTTCTTTTGGGGTCTGAGAAGGAAGGGCATACTGCAGCAGAGACCACAGCTGTCCAATCAAATCCATCTTCCCGTTCTTCCTGGGTGTGCACTGCATCTCTGAGGCCCTCTTGAATTAAGGACCACCACGCAACTAAGTTCTAGCCATCAGAACATGAGTTAAAGGTTTGTGCTGCTTCTAGAGCTGCCCTGTTCCATCCCCCAAGCGATCTCCCGAGCTTTGCTCAACTCACTAAAATGACAATACCCAGAGCAACCTTGGAGGCCGTGTTGGCATCAGCATCAGCCTGGTCCCTAAACAGCCCCTGAACAGAGTATGCTCCTCCCATCACCCCAATCTCAAACCAGCCTGCACGTTACACGAGTGAGGAAGGAGAAAAAACATTCCCGTTGTGGTAAGCTAGTCCTTTCGGTGGTTGTCATGGAGGTTTGGCCTAACAGAGTGCAAAATGTCACTTCCGGGAGAGCAAGACCCTGCTTCTGGATCTGTGCTCAGGGCCTCAGGGGCACTGGACTGAGGTGACCACCTGTCAGAGGCCAGGACACACGATCTCATTCATCCACGTAAAGGCCTCGCTTTTGTTTCCCTTTCCTTCCCTCATTCGCTGTCCTGGTCCCATTCTGTTCCCTCCTACAGACTCTATTCCAGGGAGTTAAGGTGTATAGATCTTTCTTAAAAAACACTGCTTAGTGTGATTTAATTTAGTTAGCTGGTTTTTGCTGTAAATCGAATTCTTCTTTATTTTCCTCACCTGGAGTCTGTCATGTCACAGCAGTTCCTAACTGCTTGTGTCTGACTGCTTTTACAATATTCTCCCCTATGCACATACCACATTTCACTTATCAATTCCCTTAGGGACAGACATCTAAGTTGCTTCCAGCTTCTTGCTACCCAAACTCTACATAGATAAATATCCTTTTATGTAACTCCTTGTGGATCTATCTGCAAGTTTCACTGAAGGACAAGGCCAGAAGTAGAGCAGCTTTGATGTAGAGTATATACATACTTAATGCATTAGTTACCTATTGCTGTGTAGCAAATTACCTCAAAACTTAGCATCTTAAAACAGTAACACCCACAGACTGAGAGAACATGTGGGTAAATCATGTATCTGATAAGAGACTTGTAATGAGAATATACAAAGAACTCTACAGTAGAGAGTGTGAGTGTGAGTGTGTGTGTGTTGTGTGTGTGCATGCACATATGTACATATGACACAGAACCCAACGGAAAAATGGGCAAAGGATTTGAATAAACATTTCTCCAAAGAAGATATGTACAAATGTGCAACAACATTAGGCGCTAGGAAAATACAAATCAAAGCCACAGTGAGAGACCACTTCACACCCACCAACATGGCTATAATCAGGGCAGATAGTAACAGGCATTGGCAAAGATGAGGAGAAACTGGAACTCTCATACACTGCTCTGGAAGCTCAGCAGATCCTCAGAAAGTTAAACATAGACTTTACGACCTTACAAATCTACCCCAAGAGCAATGAAAATGTATGTTTATACAGAAACTTGTACATAAATGTTCACAGCAGCATCATTCACAGCAGACAGAGGTAGAAATGACTAAATGTCCATAAACTAAAACACGAATAAAATGCGCTATTCATACAAAGGAGTATTATTCGGCCGTAAAAAGGAACGGAGGACTGAGATGCACTACAACACAGATGAAACTTAAAAAACAACATGCTCAGTGAAAAGAGCTAGACACAGAAGGCCACGTATTGGAGGACAGTCCCATTCACATACTACATGAAATGTCTCTAATAGGCAAATCCGAAGAGGCAGAGAGTGGATCAGCAGTTGGCAGAGGATGTGGGGGCTGGGGACAAGTGACAAGTGACTGCTAATGGATACAAAGTTCTTATATCCAGAGTGATGAAAATGGTTTAAAATTAACTGTGGTGACAGGTACACAACTCAGTGAGATCTAAAAACCACTGAATTGTATGTACTTCATGGGAAATGAGTTAACTGTATAGTACGTGAGTCATAACTCAAAGCTTTTTAAAAAGTGAATACGTATTATCTCACTGTTTCTTTGGGTCAAAAATTTGGAGCTAGGTGATTCTGGCTCAAGATCTCTCATGAGGTTGCTGTGGTCCCATGTCACTCAGGGCCACATTCATCTAAAGGTCTGAATGGAGCTAGAATATCCACTTCCAAGGAGGTTCACTCACACCAATGGGTAACTTGGTGCCATCTACTGGTGAGAGGTCTTAGTTCCTCTCCACAGAGACCTCTCCAGAGGACTGAGTGTCCTCATTACACAGCAGTTGGCTTCTCCCACAGCAAGGGATCCAAGAAAGCACAAGGCAGAGGTTTCAATGTCTTTTATGACCCAGCCTCAGAAGTAACACATTTCCCGTACATCCTCCTGGCTACATGGGACAGCCCTATTCATTATGGGAGGGATAAAGGGCTGAATACCAAGAGTCAAGGATCATCGGGGGCAATGCTGGAAGCCGGCTTCAACACCTGCTGATTAAGAAGACAATAATAATAATTACAGCTGGGGCGCCTGGGTGGCTTAGTCGGTTGAGCGTCCGACTTTCGCTCAGGTCATGATCTCGCGATTCGTGAGTTCGGGCCCCGCGTCGGGCTCTGTGCTGACTGCGAGCTCAGAGCCTGGAGCCTGTTTCAGTCTGTGACTCCCTCTCTCTCTGACCCTTCCCTGCTCACGCTGTCTCTCTCCTAGAAATAAATAAAAATATTAAAAAAATAAATAACAATAATAATAGCTAACAATTGTATGACACGTACTATCTGCCAGCACTCTTCTAAGCTCACAAAAACCTACAAGGTAGGATTTCTTATCTCCATTTCACAAAGAAGTTAAGTGTCTTACCAAGGTCACACTATTAGGAAAAGACACAGCTGATATTCAAACGCAGGCAATATAGTTCCAGAACTATACTCTGAAAAACTATGCAACACTGCATTCCAAATATTACTTAATTCCAGTGAAGTGTTACACATCTGTTCTTCGGAAGGGATGCACCAGTTGAAACCCCCCATTGAGTTTTTATTCCCCATGAGAGCTCAGTCTCCTACTTTTGCCAAACCAATAGATACAAAGCAGAAACACACTAACATTTTAATCTGCGTTCCTCTAATTACCAATGAGCTAATATACTTATGAGTCATTCTGGTTTTCCCTTTAGATTTTGCCTATTTATATTCTTTGCCCATTTTTATCTTATGTTTTGTTTTTCTTCCTGATTTACAGCAGGACTTCCTACATTCAGTCTTTTATATATGCAATCCCTTGTCAGTTTTCAACATTGCAAATATTTCCTCCCCATTTGTACGCATCTTTAACTCTGTAAGATGCTTTGTTAACCAGAAAGAAATCTTTAATTATGAAGTAATCAGAGGTATCAAATCTTATGGATAGTGCTTTGGAGATCTTTATTTAAGAAATTTATCCTCATCCCAAAGTCACAAAGACATTCTCCGATTTTTCCTACTGGCTTTAACATTTTACCTTTCATTTAAATGTCTTTCATCACTTTGGGATGTCTTTGTCATATAGGGTTTGAGGTAGGGATCCAACTTTATTTTTGTACATATATAAGTCAATTTTCTAAGCGCAATTATCTGTTTCTTCTCCACTAACATGTGACACTACCCTGTGTCATTCACCATGCCTCCAAATAGCTACGTGTATTCCTAAGTCTAGTTTAGCACTAATTCACATTTTCTAAGAGGAAGGACCTATCACTGCCAAAGTTTTTACTCCCACTGCTTTCTAGATTCATGAAAAATCCAACCATCATCCTCCAAGATCCATGGAGGTTCAACATTAGCTTGTGCTCTTCCCAAAAACAGAATACCCAGTTAAGAACATGATTGTGAAAAAATAAATGCATGTTTATTAAAAAACAAAAACCCTAACCAAGAACAAACCCTGGGACACTGAAAAAACAATGCATCCTCTGAAGGCCAGCAATCACCAGTGTTGTCGCACCTGCGAAGTACAGGTGCCTCAGTCCAAACATCAGGTCTCAAAAGAGTCTTCTGTAGTCAAAACTGGCATTCAGGTTGCCGGTCTGTGTGGACCCTGATTCCTAACATAGACAGCTGGTACAACTGGATGGCTGGCTGCCCTATGTCCACTGCCACAACCCACAGATGCCCCACGGCCTCAGAAAGTTACATATCCTCAACACTCCACTTGTAGGCAAGTTCCTCCACCGCCTTCTTGCTGGCAAGCCTGGCAAAGCGCTTCTGTTCAAATCCATTGGATCTGCAATCAAGAGACACTGATCAGCCAGAATCCTGAACTGGACATTCATTTTTGAAAAAAGAGGAGAGTTCACAACCTAATGAATCAGAAGGAAAGTAAGGCAGTCATATGAAAATATGTACGGCGTATGCAAGAGAATCAGAAAGCCAAAAACACACAATTCACCCATTTATTAGTTCTTACTCACACCCTTCTGCCAGTCTTATGACAACTGTTTAAAACATCTACCACTCTACAGGCCCACTCTCAGCTGACGTCTACATCTTATAATTTATCCATTCATTACACATTTAGTGAATTCTTATTACAGGCACCTCTCATTTAAAGTGTATTCTAACAGCATTTGCTCACTTCATGCCTCTGTGTCACATTTTGGTAACTCTTGCAATATTTCAAATTTTCTCATTATTTGTTATGGTGGTCTTTAATCAGTGATCTTTAACATAACTACTGTAAACTGTTTTGGGGTGCTATGAATTGCACCCATAGAGAATAGCAAACTTAGCTGATAACTGTTGTGTGTGTTCTGACTGCTCCACTGACCAGCCATACCCCCATTTGTCTCCCTCTTCTCCAGCCTATTCCCTGAGACACAGAAATTTTGAAATTAGGCCAATTAATGACCCTACATTGGCCTCTAAGTGTTCAAGTAAAAGCAAGAGTCACACGTCTCACTTAAATCAAGAGCTAGAAAAATGATTAAGCTCAGTGAAGAAGGCAAGTTGAAAGCTAAGACGGACCAAAAGGTATTCCTCTTGCACCAGTCAACTTGTAAATGCAAAGGAAAAGTTAATGAAGAAAATTAAAAGTGCTACTCCAACAAACACACAAATGATAAGGAAGCAAAACTGCTGATATGCAGGAAGTTCAAAGGATCTGGATAGCGGATCAAACCAGCTACAATATTCCTTTAAGCCAAAGCCTAATCCAGAGCAAGACCCTGACTCTCTTTAATTCTGTGAAGGCTGAGAGAGGTAGGGAAGCTGCAGAAGAAAAGTGTGAAGCTGGCAGAGGTTGGTTCATGAGAGTTAAGGAAAGAAGTTGTCTCTATAACATGAAAGTTCAAGGTGAGACAGCAAGTGCTAGTGTAGAAGCTGGAGCAAGTTATCTAATAGATCTAGCTAAGATAGTCAGTGAAGGTAGTTACACTAAACAGATTTTCAAGATAGATGAAATGGACCCCTACTAGAAGATGACATCTAGGACTCTCATAGCTACAGAGGCGAAGTCAATGCCTGGCTTCAAAGCTTCAGAGGACAGGCTGACCCTCTTGCTAAAGGGCTAATGCAGCTGGTGACTTTAAGTTGAACTTCTTGGGGCACCTAGATGGCTCAGTCGGTTAAGTGTCCGACTTCGGGTCAGGTCATGATCTCATGGTTCATGGGTTCAAGCTCCGTATCGGGCTCTGTGCTGACAGCTCGGAGCCTGGAGCCTGCTTCAGGTTCTGTGTCTCCCTCTCTCTCTCTGATCGTACCCTGCTCATGCTGTTTCTCTCTCAGAAATAAATAAAACATAAAAAATTTTTTTTCAAATAAATAAATAAATTGAACTTCTTAAAAGAGCTTGTATTCACTATCTACACTTCTTCATTTTTCATTCACTCCTGTTTGTTTTTTTTAATTTTTTGTTTGTTTGTTTTGTTTTGTCCCTTAAGACTAAGCTCATTCATTCTAGGAAGCTTTCCCTAACTGCAGTTTCTCACAGCTGAATTTACTCTACCTTTGTGCTCCCAAAGCACCTTGAAAATTCTCTACAGTAATACTTAGCAAGTAGTATTGAAATGATTTACTTGTCTTTCTGCTCTAGATAGAAGGTAAGTTCCTAGCCTTAGGGAATATCACTACCTGTGAGAGCCTAGCACCTGGTACACAGCTGCTTCGAGTAATCACATCTTTGCTAAGTGTTACTGAACTGATGGAGAGAACAGGCTTCCCTCTTTCCTAACGCCTTCCCTAAGCGATGAGCAGGATGAATAACAGAGTTTTCTAAGAAGGGAAGTTGTTACGAATAGCTCCATCTCTAACCTTAGAAGCATGCAGGGTATTCTGGAGCACCAAGGAAACCACTGTTCTTTGCCCCTGGGGAATAAGTACTTAAGAGAACCAACACTAACATGATCATACAGATGAAGGACATACGAATAACAAACCAAACCCTACAGAATCAAAAAAACAAACCACAAGGGAACGCGCAGTAGAAAAGCCTTGGACTAGAGAATCAGGAGCTCAGGATTCTTAATCTTTTTTTTTAATGTTATTTATTTTTGAGAGAGAGAGAGAGAGAAACAGCGTGAGCAGGGAAGGGACAGTAAGAGAGGGAGACATAGAATCTGAAGCAGGCTCCAGGCTCTGAGCTGTCAGCACAGAACTCGATGTGGGGCTCAAATTCGCAAACTGTGAGATCATGACCTGAGCTGAAGTCAGACGCTCAACCAACTGAGCCACCCAGGAGCCCCCAGAAGCCCAGGATTCTAATTCTAGCTTTTTCAGGTGAGCTAAATAACTCAAAGGAAGTAGTTAAATTTATATGGGCCTTGCTTGTCTTTTAAATAATAATGGGATTATATTAGTTGACCTATGGGTTTTTCCAACTACAGATATGTTCTAAAAATGTTCACATGCAATGGGCTAAAACCAGACAAACGAGAATAGGTGACAAAAGAATGAATAATCAGAAAGAAAACAGATGAAAAAGAACTAATAGGAGAGATCTAGGGGAAAATGCTAAGTGGAAGAAAACTCCTGGGAGAGTTAGAGACAAATCAGATACCAAGAAAATACTAGGTCAAGGAGAGTTCTGAGTTTGGGTCCAGAATTTTTTTTTTTTAATATTTTTTATTTTATTTCTAGGAGAGAGAGAGAGAGAGAGAGAGACAGTGTGAGCAGGGGAGGGTCAGAGAGAGAGGGAGACACAGACTCCGAAAGAGGCTCCAGGCTCTGAGCTGGCTGTCAGCACAGAGCCCGACGCGGGGCTCGAACCCATGAACTGCGAGATCATGACCTAAGCGAAAGTTGGACGCTTAACCGACCAAGCCACCCAGGCGCCCCCAGAATTTTTTTTAAGAAATAGAAGAAAAAAAAAAAAAAGGATGGACTCAGTGTAGCAGGGAAAATCTTTAGGGTTGTGGCCAGAAAAAGATCTATTTCTGACTATAAGACAAATTAGCTTTCTGAAAACTGCCCCCACTGCCAAACAAAGGGCCTATATCCAATGAACTGCAAACCAAAGTAGCAAGCTAGCCTGAAACCAACAGTGTCAGGAACTAGAGTCTTGGATTTTGACGGCAGCCTGGAGGACAGAAGACAAGGCCTTAGGTCCACAGGAGGTGGCGCAATGGAGGGGCCTGAACAGACTAATCTCCTCTCAGACAACAATGATACAATGGACAAAATATGAAAGAGCAAGTATTTGAGATTCTTTGACGGCATAAGAAAGTGACCAAAAGCAGGCAGAACCTGGATAGGAGTCCACTTATGAAAAGAGACTTATGAGCTTTCTGCCAGAGGGCACTTCCCAGTCTGCACAGCTCATGGAGGCATAAAGTCCCAGGCTTATTAGCCTGAGATATCAGTGCAGAGAGAGCAGAGCAGCTGGAAAGTCAGGAAGGAAACTGACGGGGAGGAAGCTACAAAACAGATGAACCCTGGAATGTACATACAAATGGCACCCAAATCTTTGGCTAACTGCTAACCTGTGCTTGGGCAGGGGAACCACACTGGGCCCAGTGAAAAAGCAGCAGCTAGGACATACTGTTTGGATTTCAAATACACCCAAGTTAACAGTCTACCAGAAATAACAATCAACATACTTCAGAGGAATAGAACAGAATTCCAAGTTCTGACAATGGTATCACTTATAGTGTCCAATATATGTTAAAAAACGAGCAGACACATAAAGACACATAAAGAAATCGTAAAACGTAATCAAATTTAAGAAAAAGACTATTAACAGAAACTAATCCTGAGGTGACCCAAATGTTACAATGAGCAGACAGGACTTCAAAGTACCAATTATAAATATTCTCAAGGAAGAGGCAATGTCTCTCAATGAATGTCTCATAATGTCTCATAATGAATAAGCAGATGGAAAATCTCAGCAGAGAAATACAAACAATCAAATGGAAATTCTAGAGTTGAAAAATACAATAAACTAGCTGAAACAAAAAATTCACTGTGTGGAATTTGGCACACAGTGCCAAATTTGGTAGGTTGGAGATGGCAGAAAGTCAATGAACTTGAAAACAGATCAACAGAAACTATCTTACCTTAAGAACAGAGAGAAAAATGATGCTAGAAGAATGAACAGGACTTTAGGGCTCTATGGAATAATATTAAGTGGTGGAAAACAGTGTAATTAGAGAAAAGAAAGAGTAGTTCAGAAAAAATAACTGACAAAAAAATAGCCAAATACTTCCCAGAGGTGAATAACATGAATTTAAAGATCCAGAGAGTACAACAAACCCAAAGCAGGATAAATACAAAGAAAACCATACCGAGGTACAGCACGAACTGCTAACAACCTAAAACAAGAAGAAAATCTGCCAGAGAAAAACAATTTCTTACAATGAGCGGGGTGTAGGGGAGTAACAATAAAATAAATGAGCTAAGGATTTACTTCTGATAAGAAACAATGGAGGCCAGAACATGATGAAACTTCATTAAAGGGTTGGCAAGACTGTCACAGAACTCTGGTATCATCAATCCAGAGTTCTATGTGTTGGTTCACGACCTTGTGAGCTTACAGGGTGAAGTCTGAGATTGGCCCCAGTACATGGAGGGCAAGGAGAGAACAAAGAAAGAGGCAGACCCCTCCAGACTGATCAGGGGCACATTTAATAAGCAAGGGAACTTACATATGACGCTTCTCTTGGGCAGCCACCTGCTGAATTCAAAAGCTTATATAGAGCTTAAGTGGATTAAGCCACATATTTGGCCCCAGTGGTCTCAATAACACCTTATTCTTCCAAGGCTACATCCTTGAAACAGCTGCTAGTATGGGAA